TTTCTTTCTGTTTTTTCCTTTTGTTTTTTGTTAATGAAGTATCGTGGAAAAAAGCTGGCGGGACTGTAAGAATTACAAAATAGAGAGGAAAGAAAATCGGTACACGTCTCGTATAAAGAACTCGTATAAGGGTTTCGTAATTTTCTCCGTGGATTCGAGAATATTACTTTATGGGTGGGGTAAAGGCGGGGTGAAGGAGGAAGAGGGTTAAACCGAGTCTCTCACCCTCTCTATCTCTTTATCGTACCATCTCGCTTTCTCGCCCCGGCTGACGTGAGCCTTTTTCGAGGCCCAAACACGACGAGTTCGATAAATGTACCTATATATGTGTATATACATATATCCCCCTCTCCTTTCTCTCTCTCTCTCTCTCTTTCTCTGTCTTTCGAAGTCTAAGGGTACTTTCATAAGTGTGGCGCGTTTAGCGTGTGTGCGTAGCATGATACGCGATGATTAGGCACTGAACTCCACGGGCTATTTGTTAGTATAATAAGCCCTCCAGCAGTGTGGCCAACGTAACCGCTTCCCGGCACGCCAGCCCGTTTTAGCGTAATTGTCCCAGATCGGGATTTACATACTCGAAGAGGGTGGAAATGCATTGGTAGTGGTGGTAACGCTAGTGGTTGCTAGTTGTAGGTACGAGTGGAACGACAAAGGGTAAAAGAGAAAGAGAAAGAAAGAGAGAGAGAGAGAGAGAGAGGGAGAGAGAGAGAGAGAAGAAATTGCCGAGAATGTCGTGATTGCTTTAGATACTCACTCGCTCTTTCTCTCTCTGTCTCTCTCTCTCTCTCTCTCTCTCTCTCTCTCTCTCTCTCCCTCTCTATCAAAACAATTCTTATGCTAAATACCACCTCCGACAAATCACCATTGGATACTATTTACGGTCGTTCGAATTTTCGAAAGGTCGTGCGAGATTAGAGACTTTACCCAACCGAGACATATTTTACTTACGAGCCACTTCGCGAGTCGATTATAGTAGACATAAAAGAGACATAAAAAGACGTTCTTTTTTTGTTACTATAGTTATCGATCTATAACTATGTTTTACCTAATAAACTCTAATCTGTTCTCTCTCTCTCTCTCTCTCTCTCTCTCTATCTCTATCTAATCTCTTGTTTATCTTTCTTTATGTTGCAGAACAAAATGGAAGAGACAGACAATGGTTGGCTTCGAAATAATGGCTGAGAGCAACTACGCTGTTGCAGCTTTTCAACAATTTTACGGAAGCGGAGCTGGAGCAGCCGTTCCGACGCATCCTGCTGCAGGACGATACTTTCCTTATGCGACGAGTCATCCTTTACCTTCGAATCAATTATTTTATCAACAAGCATCGGCTGCTGTTACCTTACAGAAGCCATTACCTTACAGACTTTACCCACCTACGATGATTCTCGCTGGACCTAGTGCTGGACCATTTGGCTCACTTGCTGCCAGTTCGAGCTTATCCAGCTTGAGCAATTATTACAGAGATAGTCCTGACATGGTAGATGAGAGGGAGAGGGAAAGCAGGAAAGAAAGAAAAGATAGAGAAACGATGCAAAGGGATAGGAGCAGAAGTCGAGAAGGATCACCGATTAGAAGAGAAGACACTCCGGAAAGTATAAAAGCCGATAGCGACGAAGAAAGTATACACGATATTTAGGACATAGACAAAACAATCGATCGATCGGCGAAACAATTCGAATGAACGACGAAAGGATATGCTTTGATCCTCCGAATAATGAAGACGACGAACAAAAATACTAAAAAATGCGATGAACCATTCATAAAGCTGCGAGAATGAAAATGATTTTAAAAGTTTAAAACTCGTTCTTCGGAATAATACGAAAGAAGAATTTTACGAATACCGAATATTTAATTAAAAAAAAACACAGAAAAGAAAATAAAAGAAAAAAAAAGAAGAAATTAAATAAATAAATACGATCGTTTATGGCGATATATCTTTTCAGACAAGAAGTGTTGTGTATCTTCGGATAGGATCGACTGAGATCCGATTTATAATAATAACAAGTGAAACAGGAAGTGACATGGCATGAAACATCCGAGATTTATTTGGACAAGGAGTTTATGCAGGAAGTGTTGTGCGGTTTTAAACGAAAATCGGGGATTCGGAACGTTGTTAAAATAAATAAACGGTAAGAAACGAGAATTTCGTAAAGAGAACTATCAATTTTCGTTTGAACGTGTTTGAGAAAAATCTCATCGATTTATCGATAGGTAATAGAAATCGAAATATTTTCGTTTTGTTTCATCGTATAGTCAGTCACGTCGTGAAAATAAGAGAAAGGGAAAGGGAAGAAGAAACTGTAGGCGAAATTTCTCGTCGAACTATTTATTTCGAAGCGAGCCGATCGTGCACGAAAGCGAATCTACAATTTATATGACATTAGAGAATACCTAGCCGCGGGGGAAAAGATCTAAAATGACACGAAATTACACACGGTCGCCGAATAAAAAGAAAAAAAAGGAAAAAAAAGAAAAAGAAAGGGAAAAAAAGAAAGATGGAAGATGGACGAGAATTCGGAAATATAAAAGATATGTTTGGTGAATAACAGTTATAAGTTTCTCCAGTTGGAAACCTGAAAATCCAGTATTTATTTTCTTCCTTTTCTTCGTTAGACAAAATCGACGAGATAATCTTGTCGTGAACAGATAATGAAAAAGAAGATGATCGAGAAACGTGTCAGTCCATGATCGAAGAACTTCGAGATACCAGTGTATAAGCACATATAAGTGAAATCGATTAATTGTGCTCGAAGTACGAAGGTACTGTAAATAAAGGTGAAATGAAAATTAAATAAAAATAATTCAAGATCGAAGTCCGGACGTGATATGAAACTATCTTGTAAATATTGAAGTACATAAAAAAGGAAATTCATTTCTGTGAAAGAAAAAGATTGTAATCTTATTTTAGATGATAAAAAGAAGAAGAAGAAGAAGAAGAAGACAGAGAGAGAGATAGAGAGAGGGAGAGAGAGAGAGAGAGAGAGAAGAAATAAGGTGAACGCATCATGCGCTTTTCAACGATCAGAGCGTCAATAGATCGTTCAAGGAGAAAACAGAGATCGTTTCTTCTATCTATCCTCCTTCATTTTGTTCCTCGATAAAAGAAAATAAATGTTCTTAGTTAAAGTCCAAATTTATTTTATATTTATCAATAAGTTGATAAGAAGCACGATGCGTTCGATAAAAAAAATGAAATAAACCAGTATTATGAATGTATAAATATTAGGACAGTATGACGAGTAAAAACGGTAATAACCGAGAATAAATGGTGTTAGAAAGAAAAAGTAATAAGAATAACGAAAAAAAAAAAAAGAAATAAGAGACGATGGCACCGGCGATACTTTTGCGACTTATCGCGACACTGTACGATTTGAATCCAAGTATCGTAGCGAGTACATGATTACACAAGACATACATATACTCACACACGTACCCACACATACACACATACACACATACATCCATACAAAACTAGTAATAAATCATGCTTTGTAAAATATTGTCTGTATAGCGAGAATTATTATATGGAAAATATATTATACTAAATTTAAACATCATATTTGTGAATCTCCCCCTCCCACTGATCCGGTCCGCCATCATTACTATCACTACCAACACCACTTTGATTTCACAAACTAATTTATCGAATTATCTTTAGATCGACATATTTTACCTGCTCAATTTTCCCTTTCCTCAAAGACACTAACGAATAAAAAGTTTATAGAATAGAATATCGTGCTCGAGGCGTAATCGTGTTTGCTTATTTCCGGCGTTGGTCAAGCGGACGGTACAATTATGTTGGCGCGTTCTTTCGCCTTCTGCACAAAGGCTTATTTTATTCCTATTAGGGTAAAACGAGTAGCCCGGGACGGCGACGCACACTCTTGTGTAGCCCCAATTACGTGAAATTAATTTGGGCCCCATTAGCGGTCAGCCGCTGCCCTGACACTAACGATTTTCCCCGGCGGCGGACACAGAGTCGCGTTCACATCCTCCACAAAACACATGACTACTTTCAACGGATTCTTAAGCTGTTCCCTATAGGACGATGATTCGGCGTAGGTAAGTAAGTAGGTAATAATTCAAAGAAACAGTTCTTCTTCTCAGTCGGTGGTTAATCGTACGAAAGATAAACGATTATATTAAAAATATAATTATTCTTGTTCCTTTCTCTCTCTCTCTCTCTCTTTCATACACACACACACATACAATAGACGAATTCTATCCTAAAGTGTATTAATGTAGAAGTTAGTCGAAAGCTGAACTGAAGTGTATTGTGTCTACACTTTGACTGATTGCGACACTGAACTGTGTTCTAACAATAAGAAATCTATATAGTATATGACTAACGCTGACATACAAATAAAACAAACGTATAACATAGCACCACGTGTCAGACTACACCTTTCTTACTCGCCATCCGTAAGTATTATACTTATTTATTTACTTATCTACATATATTATTGTTAAATACAATGATCTATAAATATAAAGACCTTGAAAATCTTATCTCGAATAAAATTCTTTTAAATCTATTTTGAAATGATCCGATCAGATTCTCGTTTCATAATTAACGAGGTAACATGTTTTTTTTTACTTTTTTAATATGATAATATCGATTGTTCGATCATTAAGTCGTCATTTATCAATGAATTCGTTTATCATTCATTATAAAGTATTTCGAGTCGATGTTAAACGGAGTATCGTGTTGTTCCTGTATAGCCGTTTTAAACCATGGTTCTTTTCACTTTGGCAGAATGTCTATTGGAATTTCGTAACGATCCAATGCATAGATAGCCCGTGTCGATAAGTTAACGTATTATAAATACCGATTATTATGACAGCGGCGCTTAAGTCAGCAATACGTTGAAAGGACAACTTAGTCGACCAGCGAACGAAGAGCACAAGAAAGAAAGAGAGAGAGAGAGAGAGAGAGAGAGAGAGAAAAACAGATAGAGATGTGGTCGATCGATCAAACTACTATTACTTTTTAATGCGACGAGAACTACGAGCACCGACCAACCAATCGACCAACCGACCGGTATCATTAATGCTGCCTTCTCTCTCGCTATAGATACATTGACGTCAAAATACACTTTGCATAATTGCCGGTTGTGTATTACGATAAGCAGAAGCGCTTATTAAGCATAGAACGTTAGAAAAAATCTTTGATCTTATTCTCATTTCGTAGTTGTACATAGGTAAGTAAGTACTTACGTAGGTAGATACCCTTACAAAGCAATAGAGAGAGGGAGAGAGAGAGAGAGAGAGAGAGAGAAAGAGAGAATCTTGTCCGTTATTATTATTGAAGGTCCTCGTCGTTCGTTTTTCAAAAACTTAAAACGAAAGCGAAACCGAAGAAGAAGAAAGGAAAGAAGGAGTGTAACCGGTGTTGTTGGTAGTGATGGCAGTTGTAGTCATAGTGTTGGTGGTGTTGGTGGTAGCAAAGAGGATGTGGTTAACCCACGGTCAAATCGAGCTTTTGCTGGTCTTCTGCATCCTGAAACTGGCGACAAAAGAAAATCGCCGGAACAAAACTTTGTAATACGCCGCCCTCGCATCCTGTCTTCTTGATTCGTACTTCTTTTGATATATGTCGTTCAATGATTGCTCAATGGGATGATTGTTAACCCTCTATAAACTAAATTTTGTTTGTGTTTAAAATAAAAAATTATATAACGTGATTAATATATTAGGTGTAATTTAGTATTAATGCCAATATGTTTACAATAATTTGTTTGCAAACATTGTTATCTTGACTTCAATTAATTTTTTATTTTATAGTGGAAAAAAAAATGATATAAAATTTAGAATATATGTTATATATTATTATATTATTATAATATATAATATATTAATGTTATATTATTATAACTTATAATTATAATTATATTACATTATAATTATATATATATATATCGATGCATGCGTGTAATTTCAAAGTTACACGCCTCTGTAAAGGGCTAAAAGATTAACTAAAAAATAATCAACGTTATGATTTGATAACATAAATAAAATGTTTAAGCGTATCAACATAAGTACTCTCTTTAATTCACGATCAAAGTTAACTTGTATTGGGAGAGTAAGCTATTTTTTATCATTCTACTCCTCCCTCTTTCGATGACAATTGATCAGCGACCACACGCGGTACAAACTATATTGGCTATCTACTTAATATTAATAACGTGGCTTTCGCAAAATATTGCCTCAAGTGACTTGGTAATTAAGTTGCTCGTATTTAATAAAATGCAAATAACCTCCTTCGGCTTCACGTGATATCATGAGTACGCTGGGGAAATAAAGTTATTTAGTAAAACGTTCGGGCGATCGGTTAGTCGGTCGGTCGATTGATCGATCGATCGATCGATCGATCGTTCCTTTCCTGATGGATCTCGTTCTCCGTTGGAAGGCGAGATACGCGTGCGATGATAAAAGGAAAAAGAGAAAGAGAGAAAAATTAGAAGGGAATAAATGAAAAAAAAAAAAAGGAAAGACAGAAAGAAATAAAGGGACGAAGCGAGTAAGAGCGTATAATGTGTCCTGAAGGCAAGAGGCACCTGCCTTCTTCTTTCGAGTTAGCTATCTTCCCATCGAGTGCTCACAAGAAAAGGAGCTAGACTCGAGTTAGCCGATGTTATCTCGATGGCGAGAGCAGCGAACCACTTATATCGTTAATTGCTCTTACTTCCGGCCTTCCTCCACGTTCTTTCTCTTTCTCTTTCTTTCTCATCGGTGCGTGTGCGTGTAAAGAGCTTCATGAGCATTACGCCAATTCCCCGTTCTAGAATAGGAAAGGAGAGGAAAGGAAAGGAAAGGAAGGTGAAGCACGGAAGTTTATGTTCTTTTTTAGATATATCTTAAGCTTTAACCGCAACGAAATTCCCTTTTATCCCTACTATGAATCTCTCTAAACGATTCGTTTAACCGTATTGTGTGCAACAATACACGGTAACTTTAAGAAATCGGTCAACGATTAAACCGTTTCCTCGACGATTCATTTTTAAACTTGAAAGTTTATTTCGCTTTCTCTCTCTCTCTCTCTCTCTCTCTTTCTCTCTCTCTCTCTCTTTCTCTCTTTCTCAGAGAAAAAAGAAAAGAAAAACGAAACGACGAACGAAACCGTAAATAAACACACGAATTTGACGTATAAATCGCATGGCTCGTGTACGGTACGATTTACGCTCGCGGTAGTGGCATTCCTTATATCATGTTATAGACTTCTTATTTTTCTTGAGGGTAAGAGATTCGTCGAAGAAGATTAAGACGAAACCAGTCCTCTGGCTCGCGAGACAGGAAAGTGAACGTGAAAAAGGGTTAAAAAGGTATAAAAAGGTGCGGGGAGGGGACGGGCATAATCACGGCTTGGCGCGAACACGCACTTGCGTAAGCGCGTGCGTGTTATATTCTTCTCGACTCTTATTTTCACATTTCTTCTTCTTCTTTTTTTCCTTCTTTTTCTACATTTTTCCTTCTTTTTATTTTTGTTCGATCTCT